AGGGCTTACCAGGGAAATTCCCCCCACACAACCATCAGATCTGGTGGGACTCATTCTCACGAGAACAGCATGGGAAAGACCTGCCCCCATGATTCAATTACCTACCACTGGGTTCCTCCCACACCTGTGGGGATTCCAGATGAGATTTGGGTGGAAACACAGCCGAACCATATCAGAATTGAATGCTGTTATGGCCAGAACTGTGTCCCCCTGCAACTCACATGTGGAAGCACCAAGCCCCGGTGTGACTGTATTTGGAGACAGCTTTTAAGGAGGGGATTATGGTTATATGAAGTCACAGGGTGGGCCCTAATCCAATAAGACCGGTGCCCTTATGGGAATAGGCTGAGGGCCCAGGTAGGTGCCTGCGCAGAGAAAAGACCCTGTGAGGGCACAGCGGGAAGGCAGCCGCCTGCAAGCCCAGAAGAAAGGCCTTGGGGAAACCAAACCTGCCGGCACCTGGATGCCCACTCCAGCCTCTGCAACTGTGGGAAAATCGTGTCCGTCATCTAAGCCGCCCAGTCTGTGGGACTTGGTTATGGCAGCCGCAGCTGACTCCTACAGCTGCCAAGGACTGCCAGGACATTTGAGGAAAGCCTCCAGAGAGAAAGAAAATACAAATAGAACCAGAAAGGGGAAGAAAGAAATGAAAATTGAGAGAATAAAAAGAGGCAGTTGCAATTTAAAACATCATTGTTCACATTTAAAAATCATTCTAATAAATGGCTGGGTGTGGTGGCTCACACCTGTAATCCCAGCACTTTGGGAGGCTGAGGTGGGCAGATCACTTGAGGTCAGGAGTTCGAGACCATCCTGGCCAACATGGTGAAACCCCATCTCTACTAAAAATACAAAGATTAGTGGACATGGTGGCATGCACCAGTAGTCCAGCTACTCAGGAGGCTGAGGCAGGAGAATGGCTTAAACCCTGGAGACTGAGGTTGCCGTGAGCAGAGATCATGTCACTGCACTATATTCTGGGCAACACAGTGAGACTGTCTCAAAATAAATAATAAAAATCATTAGAAAAATGGTGAGAAAGGAATATTTTGAAATGTACAACAAAATGGCAGAGGGAAGCCTGAGAGAAAGTCGAGAGCTGTGGTGTTTCATTCTAGAAGGTAGAAAGAACATCCGAGCAGTAATGAGTTCCACAAAGTGATTAGCAAAAAATGGAGAGGACATTGTCAACTCAACCACACAGACGTTTCCAGAACTAAAGGGGCCCGCAGAATGCCCCATAAAATGAATGAGACAAGATAGTATCAAAATGACATCGAACTTCTCAACAGCCACACTGCATTCTGAAACTATAGAGAAAGAGCTTGAAAATTTTGTTAGATGATATTCAACCCAGAATTCTATGTCTAGTCAAAATTTAATCAATCTTGGGAGTGGAATAAAAATATTTTCAAGTATATAAAGGACACAGAAAAATTCCTGTCCATGTATTCTTTTTGGGAAGCTACCTTAAGTTGCAAATAAAATAAAGGAAAAAGTAAATAAAGAAGACACGAGTCAGGCATGGTGGCTCACGTCTGTAATTCCACACTTTGGGAGGCTGAGGTGGGCGATCACTTGAGGTCAGGTGTTCGAGACCAGCCTGGCCAACATGGTAAAACTTCATCTCTACTAAAAAATAAAAAAGCAGGGCATGATAGTGGGCTCCTGTAATCCCAGCTACGTGGGAGGCCGAGGCAGGAGAATCACCTGAATCCAGGAGGTGGAGGTTGCGGTGAGCTGAGATCATGCCACTGCACTCCGGTCTGGAAGACAGAGCAAGACTCTGTCATTAAAAAAAAAAAAGACATGGGCCCAGGACGGTGGATGCAACCCCACTGAGAGGAAGAGCATGTGGGATGGAGAAGTTTAGGTGGACGACACAGCTAATGGTAAAAATTAAGGAACAGTATTTACAGGGTGGTAAAGAGGAGCACACTGATTACTGCATTAACCAAAAAAACAAAAAACAAAACAGACAAACAAAACAAAACAAAAACAAACAAACAAACAAAAAACCCAGACTTTTTTTTTAGGAAAAATAAATTAGAAGAAATGGAGGCCATGTAATAGAAACGAAGTTGATGTATAAAATTCATCGGAAAGCAGACATCTATGAACTCTGTTTAAAATATGAAGGTAACTGTCATAGAAACAGATTGAAGAGTCAAAGGTGATTGTATTTAGGGAGTTGAACTGGGGGCTGGGCAGGAATTGGGCAGGGACCTGCTGATTTTCTTTGTAAGATTTTTTTTTTGTATACATTACATTGGAAAAAAAATTTTTTTTTTTTGAGACGGAGTTTCGCTCTTATTACCCAGGCTGGGGTGCAATGGCGCGATCTCAGCTCACTGCAACCTCTGCCTCCTGGGTTCAGGCAATTCTCCTGCCTCAGCCTCCTATTTTTAAAATAAAGATTTTCTAAAAAGATTAGAAATGAAAACAAACCACATCAGATAGCATGGATACTGATAAACACAAGAGTACATCAGCCAGTTGCCTTCTGGACCCCGTCCCTTTCCATCACACCATGTCCCCTGCACCTGGAAAAGGTAAAGGGAATTTTAGGGCTCGGCCACTCTCCAAGTGGCTGGCCCTGAACATCCCGCCGCAGGAGGGTACTGGGGGAAGGTCCTGAGGCAGGGCACGCATTGCCTTGCAAGGCAGAGGAGGAAAGCTAGCCTTGCTGGGGAGCAGTGTGCCACTTCTGTAGACCCAGAGGGTTCCTGTGGACCTGAGCATTCCAGGTCTCAAGTGTGTCTCCATCCAGGCATCCACATCCCAAGTGTCAGAGCCTCCCTCCTTCCCTGGATAGAAGACCAGCCCAGCTTGAGAATTCAGCCTGCTCTGGAGCTCTGCCGCCCTGACGATCAGGCCCTGGGCACTACCCTTGGCTCTCTCAGCCCTTAGGTTGTAGGAAATGAGATCCTTCTTATGCTAACACGGGCCTCTGACTCTGATACTTTGCTCTAAATTCGTGATGACCACCCTCAGCCTTCCTTGCCTTCTTCAAATGCAACCATAGCATCCGACAATAGCCGTCTACCCTGTAATCTTTGCAATTACCCCTCCCTTCTCCCCAGTCAAGTACACCAACCACAATATTCCTTTCCACCTGTATTCCATCCTGATTCACGGCCAGTGAGGTTTTAGCGAGTACACATTAGCCATAGTATGCTGGCCACAAGATCAGTAAGGATGGTCATATTACAACTTAGCCTGTGTGGGAAGGTACTATCCTGCATGTTCCCAAGGAAGCTGCAGAATCCGCCATCCTGAACCTGTGGGAGCCCAGGGTGCACATGTGGGACTGAGCCCAGAGGACACTGGATTAAGGGAGGGGAATGGAAAGTTGGATTTGGGGGCATTCATTACAACGGAAATATTCCCCCAGGACACAGGCTTTAAACAGCCTGGCCAAGATCCTGGGTGCAAAATAAAGATTCATTGACTGAATAAATAACACTTTACAAGTGAAATATTTGATTATGTACATTAAAAGTATCAAATATATAAAGAGAAGAAGGCAAATTCTAACTAGGGGAAATGGTGGATTAGGACACCTGAAGAGAGAATAAAGCTTTAATTTACACTACCACAGTATCTCCCTATCAAATATCTCAATTTCAAAGTTATCTAAAGTTAACTTCCATGTTAATTTTCTCCAAAAACCAAAAGCAATTAGAAACTAGTTAAAAACAGTAGGTGATGGGAGACAACCAGATGTAATATACAAATATACACATGCATTCATATGACAGTGATAGCAACAGGAGACAGACAAATTCCTAGGCAGAGGGGGCAGGTCCCCAGTGAAATCCAACCTTCAAGCCAAAGACAGCTTAAAGCCTGAAAACTGAGCTGCCAGAGTCCACGACTGGAGTGAGAACTTCCTTGATGTGTTCTTTCTAGACCCACCTGGAAGGAGTGGTGCTCTTTCCAGCACACACTCCCCCATTCTGATCCCATGAAAACCCTGGACACAGCCACACGTTGGGACTGCCTGCCTTTGGGCCCCCTCTCACTCAGAGGGTGACTCACTTTGGATCCCCTCTCCTATCAAGAGCTGTTCTGCCTTGCTCACTCTCTAGTGTCTGTGTAACCTCATTCTTCTTGGATGTGGGACAAGGACCCAGGACTTGCTGAATGGCGGGTGCAAAAGGAGCTGTAACACTGTAGCCCTCCCACCCTCTGCCAGTGCCAGGCAGCCACCCTACATGACAGGAAGTGATGGTGGGGCCAGGCCAGCCCAGGGGGCCAGAGTGGGATGGTGGGAAAGAATGAGCTGTAGCACAAATGAGCTGAAACACACCACTTGCCCTGTTTGCAGCCACACAAACGAGCCACAACACACCCTTCTCCCCAACCTGGTTCACCACACTGCAGGTGGCAAGAAGGAGAGAAAGGGCTGTAACAGTCAATGGGGGCTCAGACCTTGGGATCCCCCAGGTGAGAGCCGTAACACCCCTTGGGGCTCTGTGACTGCTGCCATCTCTGAGTTTTCAGGCACCACCACCATGTTTCCCCTCATCCAGATGATGGTGCCCAAGGTGGAAGATGGTTGCGGCACACTCAGGCCAGCCATGGGCTAAGCACAGAGTGGTTGTGGGTGTGGAATCTAGGCTGGTAGTGTAAGCTGAGCACAGCCTGCTGGATTGAGTGGGCAGAGCGAGCCCAGAGGTGAGCCCAGAGCCGAGTGAGTCCTAGGCAGGGGTGCTGAGCCAGCTGTAGAGATTTTCAGCTGGCAAAGCGGCACTAAAAGAATCCTGTGTCAATAGGATTATTACTGAAAAATAAATTATTCTCTAGAAAGATTCTAATACATCAGGAAAACTTTGGGGGAATTCTCTTTAGGTGTGAACACTTATGAACACATCCCCAACCCCCTCAATATTCTTATTTACTAATATGAGCTCTTATATTACGTTTTCCCTGGGACAAGCACCTCACCTCCCAACCCACCTGCTACACTCTCACAAAACACAGAAAACCCCTCTTACCGAGAGATAGACCTAATAGGTCTGCAGTTGGCTTTTGGACCTTGTGTCTTCAGAAGAAAACTATGTTCAGTTATTTTCTTCACTAAAAAATGCTGAATTCAATGCTAGAAAAGCACAGAATTTGTAAAATGTATTTCAATGAGGATTCATAAGTACAGCAAATAAAATCTTAAGTGCATTAAAGATACTTAGCAGATGACTGAAAGAATCCTGTAGAGAAAAGGATGCAGCTAATAGTCACCCATATGCCCCCCACACCCCAAAACCCTAGCCCAAATCTGCATCAGACTTTTCCCTCCTTCCCTCCTTCCTTTCCCCTTCCCTCTCCCCTTCCCTCTCCTCTTTTAAAAAGTAAAATAAATCTTCTTAATCCTAATCCCCAGAGCCAGCATCTCCTTCCAAACGCAGTGATTGGATGAGTTGCTTCTGCTGATTCCAAGTGAAAGAGGTTTCCCCTTATCTTTGTCCCACTTCTGACACGTGGCGCTCACTTCACTTACCGCTGAGATAACTGCAATGGCTGCTTTGTAACTGCTGTATTTTCCAAGCAGAGTCACAGGTGAAATGAGGCAGGGGTCTGGCCTGAATGAACTGAGAGATGTGAAGTTTTTTAGATACCAGGCTTTATGGTGGCTGGGTTCCGAGCAGATACCTAGTTGTGCTGGGTTGCTGGACCACACAATAGTACTTAAAAGGCAGTGCAGGACGCCTCACAAAGCCTGATGACATCATGCAGGGCATCACAGCCCCAGGCCCCTGCCTGTAAGCTCCACCCAGCAGGTGGAATCCAGTCGTTCAGAGGTCCACAGGGTCCTCACCCCTCTGCTGAGAAAACAGGGAAAGTCTCATATCAGGTGAGGTCCAAATCCAGAGGGACTCTCTTTCTCTAGGCAAGGCCCAATTTTTAGCATTTTTGAAATAAACTTAAGAAAAAGAACAAGCTTTCAGAAAACATGAAGAAACCTAAAGATGAGCCAAAGGGTTATCTGACTGCCTTTTAGTTCTTCAGTCTCCATGACTCAACGTTTAGACATCAGCGCACAAGTTCAGCCAAATGCTTGCAAAATTTCTTCTGAACTCATCCGAGGAGACTTGACCTTCCCGACTTGAGGATTCTGACTGTTTTGCCTGACACCAGACAAACTCTGCCTCAGGGTCTGTGAGTGGAAGGGGATGGGTAGGGACCTCTTGCAGCCTCTTGGGGGCAGACACAATGGGCAGTAGTGACCTCCTGGGGCAGATACTGAAACTGCGCCAAGGAGTTAATCCCAGGATGAACACATTTTTGAGGTAAGAGAAGCAACCTGTGGAAACACTGAAACTCCATCTGCTTGTGACATAACAAAATGGGGCCGGGCGTGGTGGCTCATGCCTGTAATCCCAGCACTTTGGGAGGCCGAGGCGGGCGGCTCACCAGGTCAAGAGATCAAGACCATCCTGGTCAACACGGTGAAACCCCGTCTCTACTAAAAATACAAAAAATCAGCTGGGCATGGTGGCGCGTGCCTGTAATCCCAGCTCAGGAGGCTGAGGCAGGAGAATTGCCTGAACCCAGGAGGCGGAGGTTGGGGTGAGCCGAGATTGCGCCATTGCGTTTCAGCCTGGGTAACAAGAGCGAAACTCCGCCTCAAAAAAAAAAAAAAAAAAAATGGCAGGAACCAGTTGGAACCAATATGGCCAACTGGAGTTTCTGCAGAAGGAGCTTGCTGATGTCACGGCCAGGATTTCCACGCGTGTTTCATGCTAGCTGTCCTGGAATTTAATTTGCACACGGGACCCACGAGGAGGCATGAAGAGATAACTGCGCATGTCTGAGGGCTTTCCAGACCTCCTCTTTCCTTCTGCCAGTCTCCTGCAAATCCTGGAACCCACCCTCTAACCCTTTTCTAATAAGTGATTTCCTTAAAGGCAGCACAGCGAGACTGATTGGAGCTGGACTCCTGTCTCCTTGTTGGTCAACTTGCAAAGAAAGCTTTTCTTTTCTCTAAAACCCAGTGTGTTAGTATAGACTTCTTGCGCATAGGTCAGTGACCTCTTTTGCTTGGTAGGGGCAGACAGATGGGCATGAATGACGCCCAAGCCAAGCTTCTGAGCCTCCTTTCTGCAGGCTCGATAGGAAGGTCCTTCTTGCTCGTTAATAATATTAAAAGTAAGCGGCCGGGCGCGGTGGCTCAAGCCTGTAATCCCAGCACTTTGGGAGGCCGAGGCAGGTGGATCACGAGGTCAAGATATTGAGACCATCCTGGTCAACATGGTGAAACCCCGTCTCTACTAAAGATACAAAAAATTAGCTGGGCATGGTGGTGCGTGCCTGTAATCCCAGCTACTCGGGAGGCTGAGGCAGGAGAATTGCCTGAACCCAGGAGGCGGAGGTTGCGGTGAGCCGAGATCGCACCATTGCACTCCAGCCAGGGTAACAAGAGCGAAACTCCGTCTCAAAAAAAAATAAATAAATAAATAAATAATAATAATATTAAAAGTAAGCTTTTATTCATAATAGCCTCAAACCAGAAACAACCCAAATGTCCGTTGGTAGGAGAATGGACCCACTGTGGCATGTGCATCTTGCAGACATGATGTGGAGCCGAAGCAGCTCATGGGATGCAGGGCTCTATTTCTGTGAAGTTTCTGCAGAAATAGAGCTTGTGATATCACAGCCTGAATCCCCACAGCATGCGGAGGGAGCAAGGAAAGGCAAAGCTACCCTAAAGTGACAGAGCAGATCTGTCAGTAACCAGCATCCCTGTTTGGGAACCAGAAACAGGGCTGCTGGTTACTCAGAGGAAGCAAGAGCCCTTTAGAGTGCCAGAGTGTTCTGTGTCTTCTTGATCTGGGAGAGGGCGAAGGCTTCATGGAGCGTACTTATACAAACGTGCATTGGGCCGGTCAATGAAAATGTGTATACTGCACTGTATGTGTGTCATATCCTCAAAACACGAAGAAAAAAAGTGAGTCAGCACAACTTTAGGACACAGATTTTATTGTGGGAGCTTTGCAACCATTATATGGTTTGGTTGCTGAAATAAAGTAAAATCTTTCTTTCTGAGAAAGGTGCATATACACCATGTTCAAAGAGAAGAGTTTGAATTGTGTTTATTTATTTATATTTATTTATTTGAGACAGAGTCTTGCTCTGTTGCCCAGGCTGGAGTGCAGTGGTGTGATTAGGGCTCACCGCAGCCTCGACCTCTCAGGCTGAAGCGATCTTTCTGCCTCAGCCTCTTAAGTAGCTGGGACTACAGGAATGTGCCACGACACACACCCACCTAATTTTTAAATTTCATATTAGTTTTTGTAGAGACATGACCTCGCTATGTTGCTCAGGCTGGTCTCGAATTCCTGGGCTCAAGCTACCCTTCCACCCTGGCCTCCCAAAGTGCTGCAATTACAGGCATGATCCACTGTGCCCAAACTTTTTTTCTGAGTAGGAGTCTCGTTCTGTTACCCAGGCTGGAGTGCAGTGGTGCAATCTCAGCTCACTGCAACCTCTGCCTTCTAGGTTCAAGCAATTCTCCTGCCTCAGTCTCCTGAGTAGCTGGGACTACAGGTGCACACCACTGTGCCCAGCCAATTTTTGTATATTTAGTAGAGACGGGGTTTCACCATGTTGGCCAGGCTGGTCTCGAACTCCTGACCTTGTGATCCACCTGCCTTGGCCTCCCAAAGTGCTGGGATTACAGGCATGAGCCACCGCGCCTGGCCTGGAACTTTATTTTTTAATTGAGATATTACATACCATAAAATGCACCTTTCATCCATGTTGCGGCATCTGTCAGTATTTCATTCCTTTTTATGGCTGAATAATGAGCCATTGTTTGAAAATACCGCATTTATTTATCTGTTCATTAACTGGTGAATATTGAGGTGGTTTCCACTTTGGCGCTGTTATAACTAGTACTGCTATGAATATTCATGTACACATTTGTGTGGACATAAGTTTTCAGTTCTCTTGAGTATATACATACGAGTAGAATTACATCCGGTAACTCTATGTTTAATTTTTTGAGTAACTGCCAGACTGTTTCATAAAACAGCTGCATCATAGAATTTTTATTTCCAAGATTTTTCCCAAGGGGGAGGAAAACGAGTCATGAACAGCCCTTCCTTAGGGCCTGCCCTACAGATTTCACACTCGCTTTGCCAGCCCCTATCATTTTGCACCAACCAATTCCTGGCATACATTTCTTCATATGTATCTCCTACTGCTTCTGTTTCTCAGGTTAACTGAACTTACGCTTTCTCAAGTGTAACTAAACCCTTTTAAAAAAATACAGAACCACTGGGCTTAGTGGCTCACCCCTGTAGTCCTAGCACTTTGGGAGGTCAAGGTGGGCAGGTCATGAGGTCAGGAGTTCAAGACTAGCCTGGCCAACATGGTGAAACTCTGTCTCTACTAAAAATACAAAATCAATGATTAATTCATATGTTCTAAAATATTATTTATTGTCAACCATATTGTTTCTTTAGTCTTTGTTGAGAACAAGATTTGAAGTTCATTTTAAAATAAAAGTGCCATTTTTTCATAGGACACACATATACAGTCCCAGCTACTCAGGAAGCTAAGGCAGGAGAATTGCCTGTACCCGGGGGAGCGGAGGTTGCAGTGAGCAGAGATTGCACCACAGCACTCCAGCCTGGGCCACACAGCGAGACTCCATCTCAAAAAAAAAAAAAAAAAAAAAAGAAACCTAGAAAGTTCCTGCACGTTCCTTCCCTGTCAATGCTCATTACCATCTGGCACCACAAGCAAGCACTATTCTGATTTTATTTAGCATATATTAGTTTTGCCTGCTGTAGAATTTCATGTAACTGAAAGGATATGACATATGGTAGGAAACCTTGCGTAAGGTTTCTTTCATTCAGCATAGCATTTTTGAGACTTATTGTTTCATGCATCAGTAGTTTACTTTTTATTGATGAGTAGTTTTTTATCGTTAAAATCATGTGGTTTGTTTATTCAATATTTTGTTCATGAATAGCTTGGTATTTTAGTTTGCTCAGGCTGCCATACAAAATACTACAGACTTGGTGGTTTAACAACCAAAATTTCCTTCCCTCCCTCCCTCCCTTCCCTTCCCTTCCCTTCCCTTCCCTTCCCTTCCCTTCCCTTCCCTTCCCTTCCCTTCCCTTCCCTTCCCTTCCCTTCCCTTCCCTTCCCTTCCATTCCCTTCCCCTTCCTTCCTTCTCTCTCTCTTTCTTTCTTTTTTTGAGATGGAGTCTCATTCTGTCATCCAGACTGGAGTGCAGTGGCACCATCTCAGCTCACTGCAACCTCTATCTTCCGGGTTCAAGCGATTCTCCTGCCTCAGCTTCCCGAGTAGCTGGGATTATAGACGTGGACAATCATGCCCAGATAATCTTTGTATTTTTAGTAGAGATGGGGTTTCACCATGTTGGCCAGGCTGGTCTTGAACTCCTGACCTTGTGATCCGACCCCCCTCCCCGCCACTGGCCTCTTAAGTGCTGGGATTATAGGCATAAGCCATCACACCTGGCCTGAAGTTAATTTCTCATAGTTCTGGAGGCTGCAGGTCCAAGAGCAAGCTGCCGCAGGGTTGGACTCCTCTGAGGACTCTGTCCTTGGCTTGCAGGTGGCCACCTTCTTGCTGTGTCCATCTGTGCTCTTTCTTAGGTGTGCACACACCCATGGGGTTCTCTCTGTATGTGTTGTAATTTCCTCTTGTTAAAAGGGCACTGATCAGATTGTATGAAGGCTCACTCTAACAACCCCATTTTAACTTAATTACCTCTTTAAAGGCCCCATCTTCAAATACCGTCAGTATCATTCTAAGATACTAGGGGTCAGGATTTCAGCGTATGAATTTGGTGGGCTGCAATTCAGTCGATGGCACCACACTGTTTCCAGTTTGGAGCTTTTACAAATAGAGCTGTTCTGAAATTCTCGGACACAGTTTTCTACGGCACCAGGTCTGATTGAATGACATCAGCAATGTGGCGGAACAGCATGATGTGCTGTGGAAGGTCCAGATGAGCACTGTACCTGCAGAGCACGTGCGACAGACAGCAGAGGGTTGACACAGCCTGGGGAAGTCTAGTGGATTGTGCCATCCCTACCATGTAGGGGCAGACTGTTTCATTGATGGGGACCAAGAAGAATGAATTTTCCAGAATAATTGCTCTATACCAAGTGCCAAAGTCTTGTTGCTACTCTCCACTGAAGACAG